CAACCCGGGAAGCCGAGCGATTTGCAGTTCCATGTTCCGAGTTTCCAATCGTAGTCCTTATTTCGTCGCGTAGGTCTGTGCCGATTGTTCCGATCCGTATTTCTTTCTTCGGTATTTGCAACTTTGTTTTTTTCCAGGGCGGCTTGTTGGGCCTGCCCCAACCCCCTGTCTCGCCGGGGGACCATCGTGCACAGCTCTGTTTAGAGTCCCACGCTGGCACTAGGACGGTGATCAGCCGCTCCTAACATGGAGAACAGACGCCGTTTTGAGCCGCACCTCCATGGTGAGCAGACGCTCAGGTTTGGTGAAGCATTTCCTCTATCACCGTACTATGGTTACCGCGCCAGTGTTCGCGTCGCACCTCTTCACTTTGCTATTGCCGGACTGGAACTGAACTGAACTACAGGAAAGATTCAAAACCTCAGGGAAGTCCAAATAAAACTAGGATTTTTACGCGAATTGACTACTTTTGAGGACGTTGAAAATCTTCCAGATAAGCACACCGCTGCCTGATTGCATATGATAGTCCTAGATCCTTTTTCATACATGTAGCTTCAGAATAAGTGAATCGTGAAACTCTTGAATCTTTTTTATCACTTTTACGCATGGTCCGGACCTCCCGAAAGACCGGGTTGTGGCCAGCAGAGTTTGCATGCTGGTCCCAGATCCAAATTCATTAATGTAGCATCAAAATAAGTGATTTTAAAAAATACGGAGCTCTAGGATCTTTTCTATGAATTGGCCCCCTTTACGGATGTCCCAAATTTTTTGAAGGACCGTTCTATGGCCATCAGAGTGCACATAGGGGAATTTACGTATTCTCGGCAACCTAAGCAGCGACCTTCTTTCTATAGCCTTTTTCTCTAAGGAACGCACACATATGTAGTATTGGTTTGTTTACAATCTTTTGCTGCCAGCTGCTCTATCAATTTCAGTCGAAAGAATTGTCAAAAACTGTTTTGAAACGCTTTTACAAAGCTCCAATTTTCTCTAGTGAGAGCGAGTATTGTCGGCAACCAGTTTTTCTTCGGCAACCGTTCCATTTGAACTGCATGTTAATCTGCTGTTCTATTATCGGCAACTCGAAATCAGCTACAATTTGTAGTGCGTGTGTTGCATTTCAAGAAAACCTTGCTAGATTGCTTTTTCTCAGTGGTAAAAATATAGTCAAATTGAAGCTGAAAGCATAAAGAATAGTTTGCATGCATTCAGTGAAGTGTTTTCGTAAGAAAATCAAGTGAAAATAGTGTTTCAATTTGTGTTGCCGAAAATAGTCTGTCATGCCGAAGCCGTCATTTCCCCTACTGGTTTAAAATCCAAATTCATTCATGCACCATAACAAAAAGTTGATTAAAGAAATCTAGATCCTTTTTTACTAATTTGCCACATTTACGGATGTTCTGGGTCTTCCAGAGGAATGCTTCGCTGTCCCTTGAGTCCACATTTTTGTCCCAAATCCAAATTTATTAATATATCACAATGTTCAAATGAAAAACAAAATAAACATTTCATATATAGCAACGCTTGGGCCGGTTGCTATCGCGCTGCTATGTTTGTCAATCCGCTGTTCACCGAGAGGCAGATGGTTATTTCCCGCACATGAATAGCAACCCCCAGTGCGGTTACTGCGTTATGGTGGAGGTTGCTAAAATAGCTCTAGCGACGTATTGGTGCGGGTGCTCTTAGCAACAAAATTAAGCAATGACACTGATAATGACCATGCATCAGAACCCTAGTCTTAACCACTTCAAACTATGGAACAACGAATAGAAGATTAGGAATCACATATAAGAAGACTAATTAATTCATTTTTCTTCTTGTTTCAAAATCATCCTCGGTCCAAGCGACCCGAGGACCTATCACTATTAATAAGGCACACTAAGTAACAAGGACTATGTTGTGTTCCTTTGATTACTGAAAAAATCCAAGGAAAATATGGGAGCCCAAAAGGCAGAACTGTAACTTGATCTGTACGAAATAATTTTCAAGATGGGACTGATATGCAATTGCTTTGTGTAATAATGAGACAATGGACAGTTTCTTTGCGTAAAGAGACAATCTGACGTATTTTTCATCTATTTTTGTTCTTGATTTTAAAGGGTGATACGGTCAAAATTTGGTCAAGGGAAAACGCGTGTAAATCGGTGAAATCGTTTATATAAAAAATCAAATTAAATTTCTTTTTCAAGTTCAATTAGTATAAAATTCAGGAAAAATATTCAGTGAGGCTTCCGCTTTTCCAAATCCGAATTGCCGGGCCTTACGCTTGACCCCTGCCATCAGATTTTGTACAGCCACCTTGTCCACCTTCTTCGCCGCAGAAAGCCAGTTTGCCTTGAACTGCTGCTCGCCCTTAGCAGTTTTTTTGGTCTTCTTTAGGTTCCGCTTGACAATAGCCCAGTATTTCTCAATTGGGCGGAGCTCTGGCGTGTTGGGAGGGTTCTTGTCCTTGGGAACCACCTGCACGTTGTTGGCGGCGTACCACTCCATGGCCTTTTTACCGTAATGGCAAGATGCCAAATCCGGCCAAAACAGTACGGAACAACCGTGTTTCTTCAGGAAAGGCAGCAGACGTTTATTCAAACACTCTTTCACGTAAATTTCTTGGTTGACAGTCCCGGAAGCTATGAAAATGCTGCTTTTCAAGCCACAGGTACAGATGGCTTGCCAAACCAGATATTTCTTTGCGAACTTTGACAGTTTCATGTGCTTGAAAACATCTGCTACCTTTCCCCTTCCTTTTGCCGTATAAAACTCCTGTCCCGGAAGCTGCTTGTAGTCGGCTTTGACGTAGGTTTCGTCGTCCATTACCACGCAGTCAAACTTCGTCAGCATCGTCGTGTACAGCCTCCGGGATCGCGCTTTGGCCGTCGTATTTTGTTTATCATCGCGATTTGGAGTCACTACCTTCTTGTAAGTCGATAGTCCGGCTCGTTTTTTGGCTCGATGCACGGTTGTAGACGATACACCCAGCTTATTTGCGGCATCTCGGAGAGAGAGGTTAGGGTTTCGCTTGAAACTACCGGCAACTCTCTTTGTCGTCTCAGCGGCTTCCGGTTTTTGATTTCCCCCCGATCCAGACTTCCTGGCTGTCGACAAACGTTCCCCAAACACTTTAATTACATTTGTAACGGTTGATTTGGCAACTTTTAGCGATTTTGCCAACTTTGCGTGCGAGTAGCTCGGATTTTCGCGATGCGCGAGCAAAATTTTGATACGCTGCTCTTCTTGCTTGGACGGCATTTTGACAACTGAAGAGTGAATTCCAAAATCAAAATAGGAGCAATATTCTACACACACACATCTTCAAAATGAGGGGTGTTCAGGTTTTTTAAATGCAAAATTGAAAGAAATACGTCAAGTTGATATTGACCAAATTTTGACCGTATCACCCTTTAGTTGAATAAAAAGCACGTGGGACTTATATGTGCATATAAGCAGTACATTTATTTTGAGGTTGATTTTAAAGAGATATTGAAGCTACAAAATTGCACAATACACTAAACAATAAGCGGAAGCACTATCCATTACTATAGCAACATTGTGTTTGCTGGGAAATGCCTTTAACTTGCTTCCATGCTCAACAAAACAGCAGAATTCTCAAAATTCCCTGCGAATGAAACTAATTTCAATTATCCCTCTTTAACTGTTTCGCCGCCCTTTTAATAACCAGTTTAGATAGGTAATTACTCGAACATCCTCAGACATTTGGCCTTCCCAAACCGTGGAAAACAAACAAACCTTCCAACCACTGAAACGCATTCCATCCATTTAATTGCACAATTGAGCACCCATTCAGGTTTATGATTGAATGTAATGAAAGCCCAAATCAAAACACCATTTAATTATTGTTTCTTCACTCTGCTGTGTTGCTCCATCCCTTGGAACTATTAACAATTTTGATCAGACCATCGGTGTGGCGTAGCGCAGCGGTGTGAAAGAAATCACTTAACTCTGTGGTCGGTGAAGCTAAACTCCTACCAGCCTTGTTGGTATAACAGATAAATAAGGGAAGCTGTGACTAAAACCAATTTTCCAAGCACAATTCAACCATTCTGGTTACATACCTTTTCAATTTGAGACCCCCCGTGCAGTCAGTCGTCGTGCATTAGGCTGAGTTATGGTAAGTCATTTGTCTACAACTCTACTACGTTGTGATGCAATCCGAAAGTCAAATTGTTTGGTAGATTGCTGAGAAAATATAGCATTTTTTTTCAATGACCATTACACCATTCTGGTGTAACACCAAGAGGGCATAGTAACCGAAGGTCAGCCATTTGACCGGTAGCATATACTAACAATTCACTTTTGTTTGGTGTGTGACCGAAGCGACAAATAGCTCCGATGGTCAACGAGCCATTTCCTTTGCGATCAAGCGGTCTCGGTAGGCCAAGCGCATCACATTCGGCGTAGAAAAGTTCAATCATAGCAGGCCGAAGTTTTTTACCACCACAATGTAAATGGTGCTGGTGTTTATGTAAATGTTTTGTGCGCTACTAGATCGTTTGTTATGCTAATTTCATGCGTAGGTACACGTGGTTGTAATTGAGCAACCGTTGAATGCGTGTAGAAAAGGCGTGTTAGATCGGATCTGCATGAGTCCGGGGGAAGTGTTTTGATAATAATCAAGAAGTAAATCCATTATTCTTCCATTTCTCAGTTTCAGTTTCGAGTTTCATGCTCGCTCAAGTTTGCTGAGCCGGGGAACCAGGAATGGAACAATGAAAGATCGCTAGGTGGTGCACATAACCTTATGGCACGATGTGCGGTTGTGGTGGGCCTTAAATGTCAAGCCGTATTATTTTCCTCCTGTCCTCTGGCTGGTTGAGACTGAGATTGTAATTTAACTTGAAGAATTTTTAGCGTCGTTTAAATCACAGCAGCACCGCACGTATTGAATTTCATGCATTTCGTCAACCAACCCACAATTTTACGTTTTCCACGTCAATCCATCAACTGATCAATTGTCTGTTTATATTCACGTTTCGATTTGATTTCAGCACTCTGTATGGTGATCGCTTGCGTTTCGTTCCCCTTCGGCTGGAATTCTGACGAATTTAGGAAGATTTGCGGCCCCGAGTCGAACCGCTTCGAAGTCGGCCTTTGTGGGTTGCGATGGGCGTATCCACTGGCAATCATTGGTATTTTATTGAAAATTCCTTTCTTGTTTTTCCTGACAAAAGAGTGTGGATTTTTATGCTTCTTGCTTTTCACCGACAGCTTGCATCGATGGATTTATCTTAGCAACCCTGTCGTTCATCCTAGCAACCAGACATGTTCGGCTGCAACCGGAGCCGCAGTACCAGAGCAGCATGTACAAAGGTAACTTCTACTTTCCACTCCAGCAGCAACTGCATTATAGGAAAACTGGATCCCATATACCCTATTCCGCAGCTCGAGTGTGCTTTATCTATTTCTGGTTTTCCGTTACCCATTTAATTTTTATTTTAAGGTGAAATCAACAACGCCTACGTTACGGATGCCGTTAGTATTGCAGGTTCACGCAAGTCGTTGAACTTGCAACCGGTCCTGCTGGTAGCGCCACCCCATCACCACATGATGACCGGCAACGACACGCTATCAAGCCGGACGGCCAGCCGTTATGGTGGCCCACGGCCCGACTATCACAGCTCGCTGCATCAGTTTCAACTGTAGTAGGCACATGACCGCTTCCCCGTTGCTGTGGTAACGAAAGGATCCAACCGATCCTTGATTTTGCTGTATAGAAAGAGAAAGAAAGAGGGGGTAGATGTAGACTGTATAAGCGTTGTGGAAGTGGTGACTTTTCCTCCTGTGGCAGAAAACTCAAACCAGATTAGGTAATTTTTCCCACCCACATGGCCGTTGAAATCGACGCAAATTTGAGTTCCCTTTACTCAAATTCGCATAAGCGCAGGTCACTCGCTTTGTGGAAAATCGAGGAAAATTTACTCAGTCGATTGAGCTGCGTTTTTATGAATTTGAGTAAACGGAACTCAAATTTGAGTTTGATTCAACGGCTGTGCACCCGAGAAGCGAGGTACGTCATAACTTCTGTAACGCAAGCAATGAACAAAGACGAAACCGATGTAACGTTTAGCAAAGAAAACATGTTTTCTATCGAAGGCACTCGTTATCATGGTTACGTCGTGTTACATTTTATTGCATGGCACTATCTTGCGTGCAACTTTTCATACCATGAGGACAGTGCTGGAAGATGGCAACAAATTAATGCATTTTAATTTATTTCTCATTTTGAAAAATTGATCCTACCTTCTGAACATTTTTTTTTTCGAGGGTAAAATACTTTTTAATTGCACGGCAAACACTCAAAATACTCGTTTCAGATCGCGCGGAACGAACTGCATAGTATTTCTACTCCTATAAATTGTTATCTAGCATTTTATTTTAGTGTAGGTATTTTAGTAAGAAATATACGAAATTTTAAAGTAGTGCAGAATATAAGTAATTCGATGACTTTCCAATTTTAAATCAGATCGTATTATGTATTAACATCATTATTTTAATTATTTTTAGTGATCAAAGGATTTGTCTAATGACTGCATTAATTAATCGGGAATTACTCCGACCCTCACTCCGGGCTGTACGCTTTCTTCTTGCAAACCATCGCCGTAAGAACAACATCAACATCAAAAGATTCGGAGCTTCCAACCATCCAGCTTTGTTATGATGAAAAACAAATCACCTCCCGCATTTCCGCTCATTTGCATGAGACTCCTCCCCTCTAGCATTTATTAAATATACACACGCTCAATTAATCTTTGCCACCACCTCCTTTCAAACAGCCGCAGGCCGGCGGTGTCTAATGAAATTACGCAACATCGAGGGCGAATACAGTGTGATTAGCAGAGCCTTTTTTCCCGGTCGATTGGTAGGTAGCTGGTTCGAGTCAATCGATGGCGCTGGGCACGCTGGATGCCATCGCGAGCCGCGTGCTCCAAATAGCAGTCTGGTTAGTGACTTTATCATTCATAGCAATGCTAGTAGCAAGGTGTATATTGACCGCATTGGATCATACCGATGACTTGGCTAGTTTGACACGATAGAGCACCGGTTGGTATCAAGTTCAAGTATGTCTACTAACAACGTGACGGGCCTCTCCTCCTGATTGGTAGCGTGAGTTGAACGTAGGTTTTATGTAAATAAGTTCGTTGTCACAAATTACTAGGCTATTGGAACTGAAGTACATCCTAGTGCGTGTGTGAAATGGGTGTTGAGTTTGATTAGATAGCTTTATATTTATAGAAGTGTTTATGTCTATCTCGATTAGATGTGAATAAATTGTTCGTATACTAGTTTAGGGTTGTCGAAGTTTGGTTTTTCTATAATACATAACTTCTACATAAACTTCAAATGGTTTGTGTTCATTCAGTTAGTAACCGAATGAGTTAAAATTTTGGGAGGCTAACCAGAAAAATAAATCCAAGAATTTCTTTTATGTTGCATGATAGGGGAAAAGGCTTTAATGTTTGCCTATGGATCTAAAGATTGGGCCTGTGAGTTCTTTCGCGGGACTTCTCGAGGAAATAACTCCTCTCACTCACTTCTAATCTTCAAGAATGTGAGATTCCTCTTGCTGCAGACAAGTCTTGCCAGTGGCCCATCGATAAAAATCTCCTGTTCATTATTTTCTCTTAGAACAGTAGGTCTTCTGGGCAATACGAATAGATAAATGCTTTCCTTCGAAATTTATATGGACCCAATATTAGGGACACTTAGGCTGACATCAGGGACATTAACCCTATGTCTTATTCATATGTTTTGATGCGATTTTTCAATTCGTTTTTGAATGAAGATACCGTAAACCAGGGGTAAATTTTTCACTGGGGTGAAATTAAACAAACAATCTTCTGAAAATAAGTTCGTTTATTTGAAGATTTATTATTGCCATGTGATTCGATTTGCCAGGGAGAGCCATGACTTCCGAGAAATCATCGAGAGAAGTCATTGTTTTCAAAAGCTGTTACGCCCTAATTCCAGCTCTATCTAGAATCTCTCTTTCTGTTAGCTGCAGTATAGTTCAGTGATGAATGAGTATACCTTTAGGCGAATTGTAATATCAAATTTAAGCGTTTCGTTTTGATGGTTCATAGTCTACCTTTAGGCGAATAATAGCATCGGAAATTTAAGCAACGGCAACTAAGCGTTTCGTCTTGTTGGTTCATTCACGAAGGCGAACACACTGTGGTTGATTGCTGAAGATGTTGTTTTCTTATCGTTCACAAAATGTTGCGGCTTAGAGCATCCACACCAATGCGTTGCTAAAGCTATTTTAGCAACCTCCACTATAACGCAGTAACCGCACTGGGGGTTGCTATTCAAGTGCGGGAAATAACAATCTGCCTCTCGGTGAACAGCGGGTTGACAAATATAGCAGCGCGATAGCAACCAGCCCAAGCGTTGCTATCTATGAAATGTTTGTTTTGTTTTTCATTTGAACATTGTGATATATGAATGAATTTGGATCTGGGACAAAATTGTGAACCCAGCAAAGCATTCCTCTTCTCTTGAAAACCCGAAATCAACTTTTTGTTATGCTGCATGAATGAATTTGGATTTGAAACCAGTATGTGCACTCTGGTGGCCATGGAACGGTCCTTCGAAAGATCCGGAACATCCGTAAAAGGGACCAATTCATAGAAAAGATCCTAGAGCTCCGTATTTTTTAAATCACCAAAGTCACCAATTTGGGACCAGCATGTGAATTCTTGGCCACAACCCGGTCTTGCGGTAGGTCCGGACTATGCGTGAAAGTGATCAAGTCATAAAAAAGAGTCAAGAGCTTCACCTTTCACTTATTCTGAAGCTAAAGGGTGATACGGTCAAAATTTGGTCAATATCAACTTGACGTATTTCTTTCAATTTTGCATTTAAAAAACCTGAACACCCCTCATTTTGAAGGTGTGTGTGTGTAGAATGTTGCTCCTATTTTGATTTTGGAATTCACTCTTCAGTTGTCAAAATGCCGTCCAAGCAAGAAGAGCAGCGTATCAAAATTTTGCTCGCGCATCGCGAAAATCCGAGCTACTCGCACGCTAAGTTGGCAAAATCGCTAAAAGTTGCCAAATCAACCGTTACAAATGTAATTAAAGTGTTTGGGGAACGTTTGTCGACAGCCAGGAAGTCTGGATCGGGGGGAAATCGAAAACCGGAAGCCGCTGAGACGACAAAGAGAGTTGCCGGTAGTTTCAAGCGAAACCCTAACCTCTCTCTCCGAGATGCCGCAAATAAGCTGGGTGTATCGTCTACAACCGTGCATCGAGCCAAAAAACGAGCCGGACTATCGACTTACAAGAAGGTAGTGACTCCAAATCGCGATGATAAACAAAATACGACGGCCAAAGCGCGATCCCGGAGGCTGTACACGACGATGCTGACGAAGTTTGACTGCGTGGTAATGGACGACGAAACCTACGTCAAAGCCGACTACAAGCAGCTTCCGGGACAGGAGTTTTATACGGCAAAAGGAAGGGGAAAGGTAGCAGATGTTTTCAAGCACATGAAACTGTCAAAGTTCGCAAAGAAATATCTGGTTTGGCAAGCCATCTGTACCTGTGGCTTGAAAAGCAGCATTTTCATAGCTTCCGGGACTGTCAACCAAGAAATTTACGTGAAAGAGTGTTTGAATAAACGTCTGCTGCCTTTCCTGAAGAAACACGGTTGTTCCGTACTGTTTTGGCCGGATTTGGCATCTTGCCATTACGGTAAAAAGGCCATGGAGTGGTACGCCGCCAACAACGTGCAGGTGGTTCCCAAGGACAAGAACCCTCCCAACACGCCAGAGCTCCGCCCAATTGAGAAATACTGGGCTATTGTCAAGCGGAACCTAAAGAAGACCAAAAAAACTGCTAAGGGCGAGCAGCAGTTCAAGGCAAACTGGCTTTCTGCGGCGAAGAAGGTGGACAAGGTGGCTGTACAAAATCTGATGGCAGGGGTCAAGCGTAAGGCCCGGCAATTCGGATTTGGAAAAGCGGAAGCCTAACTGAATATTTTTCCTGAATTTTATACTAATTGAACTTGAAAAAGAAATTTAATTTGATTTTTTAAATAAACGATTTCACCGATTTACACGCGTTTTCCCTTGACCAAATTTTGACCGTATCACCCTTTACATGTTTGAATTAGGATCTAGGATTAGCGTATGCAAGCAGGTAGCGGTGTGGTTCTCTGGAAGTTTTTGAACATCGACAAAAGTAGACAAATCGCGTAAAAATCTTAGTTTTATTTGGACTTCCGTGAGGTTTTGGATCTTTCCTGAAGTTCATTAATTTTTCTATTGTTCCGGATTTTTTTTTTAATTTTTAACTCCCCAAAATATAATGTAACTACCAAAAAATCTATATACTTCTCTGAAGGTCTCTAGACGTTCTTCAAGATTTCTGAACATTTTAAAAGATCTCGCGATTTTCTTGAACATAATCTGATCGTTGCTGAAGTTCCTGCATTTTTTGCAGTTCTTTAAACTGCATTGAAAACCATGGAACTTTCTTAAAATGATCTCACATTTCCTGATGCTCATGTAACATCTCTTATGTTTTTGAAATTTAAATAAAGGTCTTGGTACTTTGATGAAGTTTCGGAAATTCCCTGAGTTGGAACTTCTTAAACATTCTTCAATTTCCTTGAAATTAGTTCTTAGTTTCTCTGATCAGTCTTTCTGCTCTCGAAGCATTTCTGAATTACTCTCAATTCTACTGAAGTTCTTGATATTACCCTGAACTAAATAGAACTGTCAAAACAAATTCTCGAAGTTTTTCTGAAGTTAGTGGAATTGACCGGAATTTATCGGACTTTACCCATAGAAATCTTCAAACTTCCCTGAAAGTCTGGAATTTATTGAATTTCACGAAGTTATGAAGTTATTGGAAGTGTCGTTAATATCTCTGAAATTCCCTAAAGCTCTCTAGTCGAACTTCTTTGACGTACTTGGAAGTTCTTTAAAATGTCAATTTTCCTCAAGTTATCTCCACATCTCTGAAATTATTTTGACTTCTCTAAAGTTTTCTGGATATCCCTGAATTTTTAAAATTTTCTTAACAGTTCCTGCAGTTTCCTGAAGTTTTTGGAACCACTTTGAAAATCCTGAAGCTTGCTTGAAGTTCACCAAAATTTCCAGAAGTTTTCGGAACTTATCTTTGGTTCCCACTGTTTTCCTATAAAACTTCCTGAAATTCTTAGTACTTCTTTTCATTCCTCATACTCTCCTGAAGATCTCTATTGTTTCCTGAAGTTTATGGAACTTCCCTTATGTTCTCCTGATGGTGTTCCTGGAATTGTTCAGAAATTAATGCAACTGCCCAGAAGATTTTTAATCTTCTCTTTAAACATGGATCTTCTGTGTAGCTTTCCTAATGTTTTTAAGTTCATTCCCTGAAGTTTTTCTACTATCCTTAAATTTTCAGAACTTCTTGATGGTTTCCTCTATTTT